CGTCGTTCGTGTCAACTTTTTACTTTTTTCGACTTCTTCTTGAAAACTACAACTCTGAATGCTTTGATACTTAGTGTATATGAACCATTCTCTTATATGACGCACAAATATAAAAGTGACATAATATTAACATTGCAACTACACCCCCCATTCACATACATTGGATAGTCCTGCATTTTGGATCATTTGGGAGCAGTAGACCCTATGCCTAGTTTAGCACTTTGACACTTGACCCGAGGCACACTATGGCATGTCTTTTCGATGCACATTTAGCCTCAGATGTTTATTTTCAGCAAACCTGTGTCATTCTGTCTTTGTGGGTCCTGGAGACTTGTTGGCACGTATGTGGAAAATCTGAGTCTTACACTGCAAAAATCATTCAAAAGTTATTGATTACATTGTATATGTTTTCCACTTGTTTACAATTAAAATATCATATTGATTCTATATTCATATTTAGCATTACAGTAAAACTGTTCATATAATGATGGTTTTTTGTGGCCTGAGGTGATTGGTGTAGTAATGAATAATTTTATTAAATGATCACTTATGTATGGCTTTCTGTATTCATTGGTGTACTTACATGTTGCCTTCACATCCTATGATGTCATAGATATTTCTCTATACGACTTGATCAATATTTGACTAATTTGAGATACTATATTGAGTGAAAATGACATAAAATGAATAAAAACTGCTGAGGTCAGCTTTATTGTTTATTAATTCTTTAAATTCTCACACAACTCCCAGCCTTCCCTGAAAACTCTTGTATTCATCTAAGTGTTTTCTGTTTCAACCCCAGGCAAAAAAGAGAAATTAAGTTTCAGACCACAGTTACTGCCATTCTGGTTGCCTCTCAAGAGTGATGTGGGTTGATCTTGGTGCCACTCTAAAATTTTAGGTTGACCAGTCATTCACTGTCATTACCATTTTAGTGATACCAAATATACTCATCTCTCACTGTTTGCATTTCAGTGATGACACAAATACTGATATGATATCGTGACATCACTCTCTTGTTACCATTTTAGTGATAACACATATACATATATTATGACATCACTAAATGTTTCCATTTCAGTAATGACACAAATATTTGTAATCTCTTTATTGACATTTCATAGTTGACCCATATACTTATTACATCACATTTCACTGCATTTGCCATTTCAGTATTGAAACGAATAATTTTCTTGTGACATTTATCACTGTTTCCGTTTGAGGGATAATGCAAATACTTGTACTGTGACATCTCTTCTTGTTGTCATTTCAGTGATAACACATATATTTATATCATGACATATTTCACTGTTGTTGCCATTTCTGTGATGCCACAACTACTGCATTTCTTACTTTTGCCATTTTTTTTTTAAAGTTGCAGGTCATCAGCAAATTATTGACCGCTCTGATACTGACAGGCGAAATTACCAAAATGAATTTAATCATAAAAATTCATTCTATGGTAAGCCCAATTATTTGTTTGTGCTGTTCCTTGACCTACCATGGCTTGAAATAATTTATGAAAAATTTAATCCAAGATCAAATGGGATTATCAATACTGCAGTGACGTTTTTCAGTGTAATTGACGTTCACTTAGAACATGGATACAGAGTTTCATAGAAACTCATTTTGTATAAATTTTTTTTCTTTGCAATTTTATTCAAAATTGTCTTGTGTGTGAATTATGCAGTTTGTACCACATGACAATGATTTTATTGCTTAAAGATACCACTTTGACTGAACAGACACCTGGATGCACCGTGCTATATACCCGCCCAGCAGTTAATCTATCTACATCTTTCACTGTAGACAAAGCACTAAAATCATTGTTTACAAGTTCTAAGATAGGAAATGTTGTTTCCATTCCAGATCATCAGTCTAAGTATGGACAGAGCAACTCTGATGTGTCTCGTGCTTGTCATAATGGATATTGTAAGTCAGTTAACTGTGTTTATTTTTCAGTTTTTGTTAATGTTTAGGTCTTCACTAGAGACTTTTTAAACATTTTAAGTATATTAATTAATAAGCACAGTAGATGTATACACCAGTATACCCAGAGTGTGAGGGGGGCATATCATATTATACATCACTCTACCCTCTGTTTTATCATTGTCCAGAGTATTTGGTAGGTATTACATATTTCTCATTAATATAGCTACTGTAAAGGGGGTAATTATTCACTGGGTTTTAATTTAGCTTATTTCGCTGGCTGGAAAAATGCGCTAAATTAAAACACAGTGAATATGTAAGATTTAGCATAGAACACATTATCTAAATGATAAAACCGTGAATTTAAAACCCACTGAATATGCCTAAAATGGTAAATCAGTGAAATTTAAACCCAGTGAAAATTAGTCATTTTACAGTATATCATAATAGTAGATTTAGTACACTGACAGGTGGTATTATCAGTACAGTGCAATCAGTGCTAGTTTGGTACAGTACAGTCTTCAGTATAGGCTTGAGATATACCAGGAGTAGATATATCACAAGTATGGATAGATTGTAACAACACCTAGTATCATGTTGTTGGTGTAATAATCTCTCATTTGTGTGTCCATCTTGGACATTGCTGGACTGATCTTGTTTACTCTTCAAAATTATACCATACATTTTTGGATACATATAAACATGTATTCGTAATGTGATCAGGTTCACGATGGCCAAATGACAGCCATTTTAGTGTCATAAAATCATCAAAATTAATCATTTATGTCACTCTGTTTTGGAGAAAAAATTCAGTAGGCCAGCTGGCGGTCATTTTGTTTTAATGATTGCTGTTTTATGAGTATTTATCTTTGACATTCAAATGCTGACTTTGTTAGTATGAAAAATTCATCACAACCAAACCTATTTGTCATTCTTGATCCACACCTGTGTGTGGATGCAGTATTCATGGTTGGTACATACATTGAACATTTTATGACCTTAGTGAACATCGTTTTGTTTTCAGATCTGATTTAAAATGCTCAACTGGTGGCCATTTTGTTGTATTGGACATTGAACGGTCTCTAAAACCTGTCTGACTGATTACAATACAATGCATGCATACATATTACATTCAGGGATGCATGTGCATCTGCATCTGTTTTGACAACCAATTCAATATGGCCCATCGACGGCCATAATAATGCAACAAATCCTTCAAAATCATTTTTCACTTATTATTCACATATTATATCTTGGTTGTGTATATGTGAACTTCATTCAAACTTGGTACACACATTGAACATTATGAGATATTTGTGCATGGTTTAAGTTTTGTTTTTTTAAAGTCAAATTATAAATCAAAATAGAATCAGCTGTACATCATACTATCCATACATGGCCAATATACAAAGAATTTGTCAATAATGAATATTATGTACTGTAGTGTACATAGTTTAGGTGAATCATGATGGTGATGGTTTTGTTGCACCTCCATAATATCTAAAACATGTTTGTTTATTGTTTGTAAT